TGTACATATAATTAGTTAAGGTCACACGGAAAGTCTCAGATACATCGTCAATATGGTCACACTATTTCAGTGCGATTTCTTTTAAACAAAAACAATAAAATTGTTCAAACTTAATTAAATTCAATGTAAAACTATTTGATTTTGACAAAGTTATAATATACTAATATGTTTAAAACACTGATAAAACGTTTCAGCAAAAAATTAAGTGAAAATACAAAAAGTATGTTTACAAGTATTCAATGTCAGAAGTCACTCTTTAAACACTTACGTGTGAATTCGTATATCACCTCCGGGTTGGCTATAGACATCCGGTACTTGATTTTAGTTATGTTTTCAACTTAGGAGGCTTGTCAGGGTTAAGCATGAACATTTTAAACTGTTTTTGAATGTCGGAAATGCGTTTTTAATTAATTATGACAAAAATAAATTTCAATAAAAATTCCGTATAACGAAACGCAAATATGACAATTTTGTATAGTGTTATGAGATTAGATGTCAAAAACAGATGCAAAAAGTGTGAATCGGAACGGTTGTTGACGGCCATGTTGTCGGCAACCGTAAATGTCAAATATAATATATTATCTATGATGTCAAATGTAAATTGTCATTCCGTTTCTCTAGTAGTCACGCGAATGTTCTTTTTTGTGCTTAGTGCTGTGTTTTCCCTGTTTTTTCGACGACTTCTGCTCTGTTTTTGGACTTCTTTGGTACGACTTTCCATTGACGTCAGTGGAGTTTGGTGTTGATACGTATTTTTACAGAAAGATTACACTATTATAAGCACACACACAAAGTCTCAATATACGGAAACGCGTAATTTTTGAGAAAAGAATAATTGAAAATCAATTATTCTTGCAATGTTTATGTCTAATCTGCTAATAAACTGGCGCCATTTTGTAATGTCATTGTCGACGTCAATAGGGATGTCGATTCTTTCCGAAAAAGGTCGCTTTTTAAATCGATTCAAATCGTAAGCTGATGTATCGATTCCAAAAAAAATCGATTTCTAAAATATCGATTTTTTTTCATGTTTACATTTATAATGTAAATATAAATCCATTTTATGAGAAAAAAATCCCCTTCATCATAAAAAAATAAGGGGACTGATTCATACGGATTTCTGTATCTATTTTGAGACTGCTACGTCTCCGGCGCTGCGGGAAGAGCAACCTCTACGCCTTAGCGTAACAAATCGCAGGCATCCCTACTCGCCTCCGCAGCTTCGGCTTGTTGGTCGCCTTCGGCGACCAGCCTCAGCCGCTCCGGCTCGTCCGATGCCTACGATTTGTTACAGCAGGCGGAGGCTGCTCCCCCTACGCGCCTCCGGCTCTATAAGACCACTCTAGGGGTAGGACAGACTCGTACCAGGTGGAGTCGGGGTCAATCAATTCGGTTCTTTGACATAAGTTGAACCTAACCTATTTTATTTATCTGCCCTAATAGGTACTGTTAAATAAAACAAATGTCAATAAGAGATCATTTATCATGGTATCTTTCTTGTTTTTCATAAAATGGGTTTATATTTACATTATAAATAGAAACATTAAAAAAATATAGACATTTTAGAAATCGATTTTTTGTGAACCGATACATCAGCTTACGATTTGAATCGATTTAAAAATCGACCTTTTTCGGAAAGAATCGACATCCCTATTGACGTCGACAATGACATTACAAAATGGCGCCAGTTTATTAGCAAATTAGACGTAAACATTGCAAGAATAATTGATTTTCAATTATTCTTTTCTCAAAAATTACGCGTTTCCGTATATTGAGACATTGTGTGTGTGCTTATAATAGTGTAATCTTTCTGTAAAAATACGTATCAACACCAAACTTCACTGACGTCAATGGAAAGCTAAGCCACTTCTTTGATTGCCCTTACGTTTGACCTTGGCTTTGTTTCTGGTTTTGATTGGATTGCATTACTTTGGACTTTGGCTTGCTTCCCGGACCTGAGAATGAGCGATTACGAACCCGTAGCGGGGCCTTCTTCGGCATCTGACGCTTTACTCGAGGAACCATCACACATCGACGAAGACTTCTCTGACGACGGCGACTATATGAAGCGTCGACTATACGTGTCTGAGATTATGTTCATGTGGAATCTGTCGGATATTGTGCGTGAACTTGGAACGAACGAGCAATGTGTTCGATATAGTGAGGATGAAGGGCTGGTCCTAAAGGAACGAAAGTGCGGCAAACATAAAACTAATATGAAAATTTCATACTCAAGTGGCTGCAAATCGCTTGGTACTTTCATATGTGCTAAAGCATCCTGTAAGGGGAAAGCTGGAGGCAGTGGAGTTAAAATCTCACGACGACAAGGGACTTTTTTGAAAATGTAACTCTTGATATGCCCCACATATATTACCTCATATATGCATATTCACAAGGATGGTCTTATAATCAAACAATCCATGAAGACCCATATAAACGACAGAGACAACAATGTTTAAGCCCAAATACAATATGTGATTGGTACAATTACTGCAGAGAGGTAGTTGTTATTTACTACCTCGAGAAACAGAATCAGTTTACTGGAAAGATTGGTGGCCCTGGTAAAATTGTACAAATTGATGAGAGCAAATTTGGAAAACGAAAATACAATAAAGGTAAATATAAGTATGATTATGTTTACACCTTTTTTTGTCATACTAAATGTCTAATATTAATTTTATTTGTTATAGGACGTCACATCGAAGGCCACTGGGTGCTCGGTATGATAGAAGATGGGTCTGAGGATCTCAGACTAGAGGTGTGCCCGGACAATATTAGGTCTGCTGAGGTACTGGTGCTGCTTATACAGAGACATGTGGCGGCGGGTACCACAATTCATACTGATTGTTGGCGGGCATATGATTGTTTGGCAGAACACGGGTACACACATAAAAAAGTTAACCACTCAGACCCAGACAATCAATTTGTGGCTGAAGATGGGACTCATACACAACGAATTAAGTCGCAGTGGAGAGCAGTGAAGAGGTTTTTTAGAAAACAAAATTATAATAATTCTCAAAGTTTTACAGACGTGATAGTAGAGTATTTGTGGAGACGAACTGTAGAAAAGTTTAAAAAGGATCCATTCAAAGAAATTATGCGAGCAATAAAGCATGTGTATAAAATAAATTAAATAATTAAAATTACATTGTTTCATTTACCACTATCATAGCAAAGTTTAGGGAAACCTGACTTTAGATAAGATAGATCGAATTTGTACTAAAACTGACTCAGAACACCCCGACTCCACGTAGTCTTGTCTGCCCTACCCCTAGAGTGTTTTTTAAAGCCGTAGGCGCGGAGGGAAAGCAGCCCCCGCCCGCTGTAGCAAATCGCAGGCCCCCGAGCGAGTCGTAGCGGCTGAGGCTGGTCGCCGAAGGCGACCAATAAGCCGAAGCTGCGGAGGTGAGCATGGGGGCCTGCGATTTGCTACGCAAGGGCGATGGGGCTGCATTTCCCGTAGCGCCGAAGCCGTTACAGAAGTAACTTTGTGTCAATATTCCTATGTAAAAAAGTGAGGTTATGATTTTACAAAAGAAATTATTACTCATAAACTATACATTTCCGCAAGCGGGGAAGGGTAGGGGGGCTTCCCCTGACCCCCCTCCCCCTCCCAACCTCGTAGGCGAGTACCGGATGTCTATAGTTTAACCTCACCTCCTACTACTGCCGCAACCACGTACTACACAAGTTTGCACCATTTCTTGTATTATAACATTAATTAACTTTAAACATCTCAAACGACGCTGTGAACTGCTAAGGTGCTAAGTAAACAACCGCCATATTTGTCTAATTTATGTTAACATATAGGGCTAATGTTGCCACATTACCAAACCCTTAGAAAATGGGATTGTAATTCACTGATTCGTGAACCCAATAATGCATACGAGATTTTCAATTTTGGAATTTTTAATGTAACTAATCGTAGATCAACTATTTATTTATTGGTACATTATTTTACAAAGCTTAACTTCTGATTTAGTTAGTGTGGAAATTATTTCTAAGAATTTACCGGGAGATTCAAATAAAAACATAGCAATATTGTGTTCCACACTAAAAAGAGAAGTCAGACCACAGAGAGTGAGATAAGGATACGTAGGTATTTGACTCAAGCTGTTGTTCCAAGTGTGGCCTCCATCTTTATCTATAACTTCATGTTTGGCTGGCTTTGGCCCTACATATTTATTTATCTATGGTTTGGTTTAATCAAAGTCAACATGGCTATGAAGGGCTAGAACCCAGAGCCGTGAATCCAATTATAAAAAAAAGTTAAATACAGCATTGCCAACATGTGGAGAATTCCCTAAATTGCGGGGAATTTAAAGTTGGTTGGAGATATTTTTGGGCTTGGTATTATGCGTGGACTTTGAAAATCGGTAGCCCGGGCAAAGTCAGAACTATTTTTCAAGAAATCTAAATACTTAACATTTTTGTTAGGTTACCTATGAATATTGAATGACTCCTCTTTTTAATTATCTTCATAGCATCACATTGAATTTTAGAATTTATTTCGGCAACTTTTGTGTATCATTTAATCCTTTTCATTTCTTTATTTTTTTAATATTATAGCAAAGAAACGCAAGCATATAAATCCAGATACTGTGGTACTTTTCAATGGCAACAAGGGAAGGACTTTAAATACTCCATGGAGCAAAATGCTTATCACAAAAATATGGAGGGTGAAAAAAAATTTGGGTGAAAAAGAAAATACTTTTTGTTAAAAAAATATCTTATAAAATTAGTTGAAAATTGGATCATTTCTTAAAAGAAAATTGAGGGGATTTTTTGTGGGGAATCTGTTGAAGTTTTGTCCGTAAATTGGGGAATTTGACTTTGACAAATTGGTGTTGGCAGTACTGGATACTGGTCAGACCAAGAATTTTGAAAATAATCTAAGAAAAATAATACATACACAGAACACAGAAATACTGAAATACAATCAATTTACAAGAATATGATCAAGCAATTAATTTTGTTTGCACCACACATAAATATTATTAATGGCTTGTAATTCTTGTTCTCGTGCATTTTCACTATTACGTCCTGAGGTAAGAAGTAAAGAGAGTAAATAATCTAAGGAAGTAAATTAAGAGTTATATTTGTTAAAATTTAGTCTGATAGTGCAGTTTACTCAATTCGTAATATCTGTTTTTCTTTTTTATTTTAAAAAATATGTGATATTTTCAGAAAGGCTGCCCTAGTTGTGGTTTTAGTTATTGTTCAAAATGTTTAAACAACAAAAAATTTTTAGCAAAAGTAAATGCTGAAAAAAAGGTTTGTATAATCCGAAAGAGCCTATGAACGTAGTTTGGAAATAGTTTGTGTTTGAAAGATAACGGTAACTTATTTCACAGGTTTGTGCTAAATGTTCAAGAAATGAGGCAAAAATCATTGAACCACCCGATGTTTTCTACAGGCAAGTGTACTTTTATAAAATGCGTTTTTATTATTTTGTATTGTTATATTATGTAATCATTGTCCATAATTTTCCAGCCGTATTGCTAAAATTAATGAAAGTCAAAGCGATTGTAAGGATAATACATTTGTAAACACATCTGAACAAGAAATTTTTAACAGACTAGAAAAATTAAAACAAGACAATAAAGAGAAGGCGAAATCTGATAAGGAAATATTGGAAAGACTACAAAATTTAAAAGGGCCAATGCCATCTACATCAGATGCAGAAATATATTCACGATTAGCAAAAGTAAAAGGTATTCCAAACATAGTTACTAAAGAGGTAGGTACAACTGAAAAATAATTAATATGAAATATTAATGACATATTAAACCGTTGCATGTCCTATGAACCATATATGAACATTTCAATTGTTTAACAATTGTGTCTATATTGTGGACATTAAAACTGTTAATGTTATATATAATGTGAAGGAAAACATTGTGAGGAAACTAGCATGTCTAAGAAATAAGAAAAAAAATTTTGAAGATGTGAAGTTTGCAAACACTCATTGGGGCATCGTGGTGGTCATTTCCTTTCCCTAAAAACCGTTTCAGCAATGAGGGGAGGCCTGTGCCCAGCAGTGGGGTGTATACAGGCTGTAACTAACATTACCTATATATCTTCAACAACTTTTTGTAGTAAATTAACTATTTAGGTATTAAAGAATCAAACTTACAGGTGAAGGTGTAAGAGAGACCCTCCTGTTCTTTCCATTAACTGTATTAATCTTGTGGCTTCCTAAAAATGACATTATATCTAGTTTACATCAGATGAAATATTGCATATTGAATTTCAGCCCGTTTTATCACCCCCTGATTTAAGAACAGAACAAGAACAAGCTGATGATTTATTGAAACAATATATGGAGCAAGTAAAAATAGATTCAAAATATAAGGATGGGTTTGAAGATACTATTAATAATATTGAGACAAGATTACACAAGTTAAGAGGCACCAGTACTACATCAATTTCTGTTGAAAAGTCAAGTGATTCAGAAGATGAAGAAACTATTATAAAGAAAATTATTGAGAAGGTAATGAACAAATAATAATAATTCACTACATGGAGTTGTAAAGTTCTTTTGTTTTTATAAAGTTTTTCTGTAAGAGGGTGTTCCTACTCAGAACCTTAGGCAAAAAAAAGTCCTACCACATAACCAGAACAACTTGCCATTGATGATAATACCGTATCCTTTTACACCTCTCTGTGGTTAGATAGGTTTCATACTCTGGTTACTTGGATGGTCATTATAGCCCTCCTGTACCCAGGCTTCACTTCTACACACTACCAGGCACTTCTATGAACCAATATTCAACTTTGCACTGCTGAAGGGACTGTAACACCATCAAAATTTTGAATGAATCAAAATAAATTCCTTTCTCACAATCCACTTACATAAGACAATGTTACAGATTGTACTCTTTAATCGTCTGTATAATTTGCTGAAGGGTATGTTTATGGTTTGTCATACCAAAGCCTTGCTGGAAACTAATGTGTTTGGGAGGCTAGAAATCACATAATTACTCACAAAACATCATGTTGACGTGGGTCAGCAAAAAAATCAGTCTCTAGTTTTTCAATAGTTTTCACTTTTTTTTTGAAGAACAAGATTACCACACTTCTGCTCTATGCCTCCAGAGTATTGACACCATGAAGGATGGAATTGGCATACTCTGTGGAGGATCTCAGCATTATACTCAATGACCTCAATAGTGTCTCTCCCAACGGATGAGTCTATAAATAAACATAGACAAACCAAAGGCCATGTTGTGTAACATCCATGTCACACCTATGCTGGTAGTTGTTGGGATCACTACACATGAAGTTGTCGATGAATATGTTTAACACGAACAAATAGTCCAAATAGGTACTAGTCCACCTTTTTTTTTATAGGATCGGGTGACATACGAGCACACAGTCCCCCTGATGGTAAGTGGTTGCTGCGGCCCATAGACATCTACGTTACGAATCAAAATGCAGATGCGTTGTCACCCGTGAGGACTATGATGGAATGCCTCTTTTCCAGTAAAAAGGGTCTCCGGTTCTCTACACTCACCATACAAAATAGCAGCATTGAGCTGCTATTTTACACTGGTATTCTGTGAGAGCGTGGTCCTTCCCCGGTCGAGCCGTCCCATTCGTGCTACAACTATACTACTAATATAGTTGCAGCATGGCTCTACCATGTTGATAACCTTTGACAGAGAAAGATATACCTCAAAACTTTTATAATCCGGTACATGCTGCCAGTGATGACATAAAGATCTGAGACATGGTTATTCACTACTGGGCGTATTAGGAAGCTAGATGGATTGACGACATGGTAAGAGATGTAAGAAGTTGATGGGTGCAGGTGGCTCAAGACCGTACATTGTCGCATTCCTTAGGGTAGGTCTCTATGTTCAGCAGTGGACTTGTGTAAGGCTGTACTCATTACAGTCTTTGACAAGTGACATTGTTATGTTTGCCCCCCTCCCCCCGCGTTACACATTCGCGCATCTTATACCGAACATGTGCGTGTGTAAATAACGCCACCAACTTCATTATAAAAGTCATTTTATCAAACTAAAGTGCTTGACTTGATAGTCAAGGTGACATTCTTATATAACATAGATGCTATATTGCCTAAATTGCGACAGTCACGCGTCAGAGCCGACACGCAATATTTTTTTTCTTCCTTGTAGTTACTATCAAGGTGACATTCTAATATAACATAGATGCTATATTGCCTAAATTGCGACAGTCACGCGTCAGAGCCGACACGCAATATTTTTTTTCTTCCTTGTACTTACTATCAAGGTGACATTCTAATATAACAGATGCTATATTGCCTAAATTGCGACAGTCACGCGTCAGAGCCGACACGCAATATTTTTTTTCTTCCTTGTAGTTATTGCTTAATTTCATATATTTACTGTTGTAAGTACAATACTAGATAAATATTGTTGTTTTATTATTGATATATAAATTATTATTAATTCTACTGAAAGCAGAAATAAATTTCTAAATATCGTCAAGTAATATCATATTATGCGAGAAAGAAGATTTTAGTAAATACCTTAGTAAGGGGCCTGTCTCATCAACACAGATTTGTATCATGTTTGCCTTAACTTCATCATTACCTACTGCATTTGTACTGTAAAAGGATTTTACGATACTTACTGGATATGTCATTGGCTCTGTATAGAGACGGAGTTTTAGGAGTATGCTACTAGGCACATTTTTGGTCAGTTTTCTCTCGTTTGCAGTAGCCACTTTCAATCCGGTAGTCAATAATTTTACTGCCTCGTTGGTCTAGTGATCGTAACTGCGATTGATGATCGTGTGGTCCCGTGTTTGTACCTAAGTCGGGTTAAAATCAGTTATTAGGTTTTTCCGTCAAGAAGTTTTCCGTAGCACCCAGGAGTCAGGAAGTAGGCGGTTTTTCAATTCATTGGTCCTGCTTCTGATTTCTTTTCGGCCGATTGCCGTCTCATCGAACTATGAGAGCTAGTGAATTGAGAGTGCACCTGTGCTCTCGCACACACGCGTCAACTATAATACCGTTTAGTGCAGATAACTAACCTCTGTTGAGGTCTGGAGGACATTATTATCAGGCAATAATTTTAATTAAACAATTTATTCTACCACAGATGCACCATAGTCTAAAAACATCTTTTAACAGGCCAGTTGAACGATAATTCGACATGAGTTTGATTATCATACACGATCTGCTTACCTTAAAAGTGACAATCCCATTCAGAATCCTTGCAATAGTGTTCCGATACCGATTCGACAAATTAAGGAAGCTTAGATGCGAGTTTGCTTTTGTCTTTTAGTAAGATAACATAACTTTTCGGGCTTCTTCACTTCGTCAATTTGACACAAATACCTGTGTGTCGCGTGTTTGAGATGAATCCGTTCTCATTGTAGCTTTCATCAACTTAAGCTTCTGGTTGTTTACGGGGTTTACTGTCGAATTTCCAGGACGTCAGCGACCGTGCTTTTAATTGCGTGTCACCTGTGTAGCATCGGTAGTACAAAATATTCATTCAAAAAATGAGATTTTTATTTTTGCATTCGCAGTTGTAGATATTAAACGATATCAAATGAAAAATAAACTGCTGGAACATCGTTCTTTTAAAAACTATGATTTTTCAATCATCAGATTAACGTTATTTATGACATAATAAAAATAAAATACAAATAAATTAAAAAATAGTTATAGTTCTATCATTTAAATTCAACAGGCTATAATTTATTCGATGGGCAACTTTTATCTGATAATTTGAAATCAGCTCTTAATCGTACAGATTCTTAATATATCTTAACTTTCAAAGGAATCTAGTGTATTTTTGTATTCATGGTATTAAATAATTAATTTGTTAAATTATATATCCGCCACTGTGTCGTGGTGGTGTTAGAATATCCATCACTCTTTATCGTCCCGTGAAATCCCCATAAGAGACAATAGAGGAAAACTGAAACAGGAAATTGGATGCCTCATCTTCCTAATAAGAACTCAAAATAATTAAAAAAAAAGAGTATGCAAAGCTGTCTGTCAAGGGTGGTCACTATGACAATATCACCATATGAGGCAATTTATGGGGGAGATTTATCTTCAGCTGTGAACTTTTTATAGGCTGTAATGAATGAATGAATGAAAATGTCGTGGGCTTGTCGATAACGTTACGACAGGACACGTCTTACAGTGGATGTTAAAATTATTATACTCAACATATTTATTCCTTTTATTTAGTATTTAAAACCAATTATACTTTACAACGACGGTTTTAGTTCAATCAAATAAATTGAAAAGATTAATAATTTTATGCTTTATAGTTTACAACACTAAAATTGTCTACTTTTAACTAGGCAACACTGTAATAGCCGCCATTTTGTTTCGTTGTCAATTTTGCATTTCTGTAAGCACGTGCTCTCTGTGTCTTTATTATAAGTAAGTGAAGGATTTATTCAGTAAAAGGTATGTTTTATTGGTTTTACTTTGTAATTAATTATTATTCTTCTTGCATTTCGCTGTTTTTTGCTGTCTAATACATATTTTATTTTAAAATTCGTCTTTTTCATCAACATAACCTCACTTTCAATAGATTTGAAGATGGGGAAGCGTTCTGACATGTCTCCAAAAAAGAAAACTGTAAATTAAGACTTTGCTACAACACTGTAAATATTCTCAAAGGAAAATAGCAGAAATGTGCAAGGTTTCTCAATCTACAGTGCGTAATATCAGTAAAGCTGTGCAACAAGGGGAGTCCATGACGCCGAAACGTTCCGGAAAATGTGGACGCAAACGCATCACTACGCCTCGAGATGAGCGAAAAATTCGGCAAATAACCATAGAAAATCGGAATAAACCCAGAAAAGTCATTAGAGATATTCTCGAAGAGGCTGGAGTGACTCTGTCCGACATGACGTAGAAGATGGAAGGAACAAAACTTTTCCTGCCGTCGACCATTGAAGAAGCCGAAATTGACTCCTGCCATGCGTCTGGAACGACTAGTTTGCAAAAAAATATAAACACTGGACTGCAGAAGACTGGCATAAAGTAATATATTGTATTTTAAACGTATTTTGTATTGTATCACTGTATGGACATGTCTTTACTAATGTGAATTGATCATGTTTGGGATTTATAGGTTTGCTTCTCTGATGAGTCGAGTATCCAGATCTTGCAAGACCATACGCAGTTTGTTCGTAGGAGACCAAATGAGAAATTCAAAGAAGACTGTATTGTAGAGAGAGTGAAGCATCCACTATTCATAATGATCTGGGGAGTTATCAGTGCAAAGGGTAACGAACGCCTCTACATAGTGGAAAACACCATGCGGCAGGATCAGTACATTAAAGTTCTGTCAGAAAAACTGATCCCACAGACATCAGAATGGTTTCCTAATAAGGATTTCCTGTTTATGCATGACTCAGCCCCATGTCATAAAGCAAAAAAAGTGACAAAATTCCTAAATGACCATCAGATAAAGGTGTTGGAATGGCCTGGTAACTCTTCAGATCTAAACCCCATAGAAAATGTGTGGGTTGCATTAAAAAAGGAAATAGCTAAAGAAAAAGTCATAACTAATAAACAAGGACTGATTGAGAAGATTTGACGACTTCCAGCCTCCCGAACAAGCCGGTTTCCGAAAAGGCTTTAGCACCATAGACCACATACATACCCTTCGGCAAATTGTACAGAAGTCCGAGGAGTACAATTTGCCACTATGTCTGGCGTATGTGGACTATGAGAAAGCCTTTGATTCCGTCGAAATTTGGGCGGTGCTGCAGTCCCTTCAGCGATGCCAAGTTGACTGTCGGTATATCGAAGTGTTGAAGTGCTTGTACAGTAGGGCTACGATGGCTATCAGAGTACAGAACCAGAGTACGAAACCTATCCAATTGCAGAAAGGTGTAAGACAGGGTGACGTCATATCCCCGAAACTCTTTACCGCTGCATTGGAAGATGTTTTCAAGCTTCTGGACTGGAAAGGATACGGTATAAACATCAATGGCGAGTACATCACTCACCTTCGATTTGCCGACGATATAGTCCTTATGGCAGAATCGCTGGAGGACCTAAGCACTATGCTCAATGACCTCAATAGTGTTTCCCAACGGATAGGTCTTAAGATGAACATGGACAAAACAAAGATCATGTTTAATGTCCATGTCACACCTATGCCGGTAGTTGTTGGGAACACTAAGCTCGAAGTTGTTGACGAGTATGTTTACCTAGGACAAATAGTCCGACTAGGTAAGTCCAACTTCGACCGAGAGGTCAATCGACGGATTCAACTCGGCTGGGCAGCGTTCGGGAAGCTACGACACATCTTCTCGTCAGGTATACCTCAAAACTTAAAAACGAGACTGTACACCCAGTGCGTGTTGCCAGTGATGACATACGGAACTGAGACGTGGTCCTTCACTGCTGGCCGGATGACGAAGCTCAAGGTCGCTCAGCGAGCTATGGAGAGGGCTATGCTCGGAGTTTCCCTGCGTGATAAACTCAGAAATGAGGATATCCGCAGTAGAACTAGAGTGACCGACATAGCCCAACGGATTAGTAAGCTGAAGTGGCAATGGGCCGGCCATATAGCTCGAAGAACCGACAACCGATGGGGAAGAAAGGTTCTCGAGTGGCAGCCTCGTACCGGCAGGCAAAGTGTAGGGCGTCCCCCCACTAGATGGAGTGACGACCTGGTAAGATATGCAGGAAGTCGATGGATGCAGGTGGCTTAGGACCGTGCTTTGTGGCATTCTTTGGGGGAGGCCTATATTCAGCAGTGGACTTGTGAAGGGCTGTAATGATGATGATGATGATGATTGAGAAGATAATCAAAGCTTGGTATAACACCCCAAAATTAAAAACAATATCAAAAAATTGCATAGACAGCATGCCTCGTCGACTTCAAGAAGTTATTGTACAAAAGGGTGGTTTTACAAAATATTAATTTATAAAAAAACTTGAATGAAATTAACTTTTTACACCATAAACATGTTTAATTATTTTCAGAAATAGTTATATAAGCTCTAGTGAAACAATAATACCAGTAAACAGATTAAATTTATTACATAAAGAAATTTAAACTTAAAAAAAATCTTATTTTATGGTTTGAGTATAATAATTTGAACAACCACTGTATAAGTGATAAGACTCTTCTATCTAGGAGTCATCAAGTAATGCTTTCACCACTGTGTTCCGGTCTGAAAGGCACAGAGAGACCCAGTATAATTACAAGCTGTGAGGCAGTCCATCATATTCTTTAGAGGTGGCAACTTATCTGTAGCCTCAATTGTTGGAAGTTGGCTGCAATTGACCTTTGATTGCAGTAGCCACTTAGTTATAGTGTTATATTTAAGAAAGTGTCAAAGAAGAAAAAAAATTAGTTTATTGAATAATTTTGTAACGTTTTTTAACCTGTAGCTCTATTTTTATTACGATCACAGGTTGTCTGTTACCACAGAACCTAGTGTAATATTGTCTTAATTTTTTTAGGTAAAAACAGATGCAAGTTTGGAAGATGAGATCTCTCCAGACACAAATGATGAATTGCCATTCTGTGAGATATGTAATGAAGATGCCAGTGTTAGGTGTCTAGGATGCAAGTATTTGTTTTGTATGAGATGTTTCAATGAACACAAAGATGATGATGACGGCTGCGACAAATATGAGATTTTTAGTCCACCCAAATCACAAGGAAAATAACGATTTCTTATATTTACGAAATCTACACATTTAATGAAACTTACTTATTTTATTTTTCCGACGCCTCGACTACTTCACAGTCCTTTAGTCACGGGGGAACTGAAGTGTTCTAAGTCTAGATATTGCAATTAGGTCCGTCTACTTTCAGCTTAACCCTACAAGGCTCAATTTTTTTCTGTTGCTAATAAAAATATATGTGATGTTGTTAGTGATGATCACTTGGGAAAAAATTATAAAAAAAATAAATCAAAACCCAATATTTTACTAGAAAATCAGTCTTTTATTTCAGTTCCATATGTGATACACTGAACCTTAACTATAATTGTTTGTGATTGAACTAGAACTTTTGAATTATGTTGAAGTCTACTTAACAAATTAAATAACATATTATTACAAAATAATTATAACAAAACAAAATAACGATTTTTTTTTTAAATACCAAGTATTGGTGAAAGTTTCTGAAACAATTATTATCTTTATTGAGGCAGAGTTCAACTCGACATTTTTCACACGATAAATGTTTTTCTTTTGCAACCGAGGTATTTACAGCATTTACTTTTTTGACCCCAATTTAGAAAATGCGCAAACCCGTCACATGTGACTTCACGAGGGAGTAACATTGCCTATTTGATCAGGCAAACTTGACGGTCTGCCTCTTTTCGTAGTGATCGATGGCTCACACATGCACAAACTTTCCTAGGTCAAATTTGAAGACCTTTAGAGGGTTGGCGTTTGCTTTTGCTTCCCGATTATTTTGTATAGTAACCAGCTATTTATAACAATAACATCAAGAAGATGATAAAATAGCCTCAAATACCATTTTCTTGTCCTTATTTTTATTTTATATTTTCCCAGGAACAAATCCAGTAGGTCTACACCTCCCATATGATGGTTATATACTTTTACAATTTGGGAACAATCTACCTGTATATATTTCTTCTGTTTCTTGCAGTACCTCTTTACTGATTGTATTGGATCTTGGCCCACGAAAGACTATGATAAGACAATTGGTTTGTTATCATACTACATCACTGTTACAATGTCTGTACCATCAACATTTGCCACCCATTCATCAGAAAAACCTCTCTCTACCTTACTTTTTTTTTAGATCCATTAGGGAAGGGATATCCCAAACGACCTTTGTTCACAGTCCCAAGCGATAAGATTACTTCTTTGGTCAAATATGAAATCAATTCCGGTGACGTGTAATAATTATCAAAGAAATCCTGTATTGTTGGTTCCTGGGTATGCATCTAGCTAAACGTACAACGATATTTGAACTCGCTCCCAAGTCTGGCTCACTTGAAAATCCTTTAGTTCTGGATAGTTCTCCATTCCTGAATAAATTTCAAAATCTTAAGCAAAGCCACGATCATCGCAAAGAACCAGAAGTTTATATCCCCATTTATGTAGCTTATTTGGAAGGATGGGCGCAGAATATTGGACGCTTTTGTCGCGCGCATTTGCTCGTTCACAGTCCCTCCCTTTTGTGGTTTAAGATATTTATTTCTCAAAAGAATTATAATTCACTTACATGAGAAATGTTCACAATGTTACATAGCTTAATTCAAACGGCACGACACACAAACAAAGTGATAACAAAATAAAATGACACAGTTTTCTTTATAATCTATGGTAAATAATGTAAAAAAAGTTTTTAAGTGCAAAGTAAAATAATAAAAGTAAAATGCAACAATTAAAATTAGCATTCATTTACACTATTTGGTTCGACCGCAGAGTGCAAAAATATTATACCTCCCTTTTAGGGATACTTAGACATTTCTTTTTCAAAGTTTCCAATATTGGCCTGATTTTATGTAAACGATCATGACCTGGTGTACCTGAGGATGATTGCGCGGTGTTGTCATTGAAATGCAGGAACTGCCAGATTTTTTTGAAATGATTAAGCGATATTGTCTCCATAATCAGAGGAACACCCAATTCAGGGCCCAATACATTCGCATATTCTGCAATGGTGACAAGCTCATAATCAGACAGACACCTAAAAACTTTTCAATTCAATAACTGAAATGTTGAATGGTTTTAAGGAATTTGTTTGAATACTAAATTTGTGCATTTCTTCTACAATATGCCTCTAGTAATACGTCATCAATAAACCATGAAAAATATGGAACAGGAGTTTCAAATTCTGAGAGACTGTAACTTTACATTTCCAGTAAACTGTGAATATGGTGATTGAATATATTTTTTTTCCAAATGAACTTCCTTTTCGTCCTTTTGATGATAGACGCAGAGCCATGTTGTCTAGTTCTGTTAGCAAAAGCAATACTCACGGAAGTTTCACGTGATTGTCTATTGTCACATGAAGTTCTCGCTGAAATCACACCTGAAGTACTAGGTTGAGGGCTTGTCATTTGCTGCTCGCTCGATAAATAAGCATCTTCGTTAGCGGGAGACAAACGGAGTTGTTTCTATATCATTAAGGAATTCGGAGAAAAAACTGACGGTAGAGGGAATCTTTTCTATGTCTTCATCACTTCTAGCTTCAGAGCAGTCTTCGCCATCTACACTTCCTGATGGTATACGCAAGAAATCTTCGATATCTTCATCACGAAATCGTTTGCTCGTCATAATCTGTAATAAATATAAGTATTCATAAGTACACTTCTCGTAAGTACGTATTCGTAAAAAGGAAAGCTAAAGCTCAACGTACCGTATGTAGAACATAGATAAAAATACGATTTATCAATAGATATAATACAGTAATAGAAAAACTAACTTACCTCTGCCAAATAACCACTTTCTTACAATACCTACGTTATATGTTTTTCCCTGATCAAAACCTTAATGGAACGGTATTTTATTTATTTAACATACACAAACCTTAGGTATAAATTTCACCGTTTACTGACAGTAATCGGACCAGTAACGATATCTATACGCAATTATTTACGTTATATCATTGCTATAATTGCGGCGTGTCCCTCAAAAACCATGAGATGTCGCTGCTAGTATTTCTTAGAGCTGTAGGTACCATTAAAGTGGTTGTCCCGTATATGGTACTGAATGCCTTGTAGGGTTAATATTATTATTTTTATCCGATCTGCGCAGATTAACATCGGGTTCCCCGTGACCATGGGTGCTGTCGACGGAAACATTTATTTTATAAAAATAAGTGCGTAAAATCTATATAAAATATGTGCATTCAACACATTAAAAATTCTATGATTTAAATATTTTTAAAACCCTGCTAAAATTTGGTTTGGCACTTAACCCTTCTTTGAATGATTCTTTTTTCTATTTTAGGAAGGGTAGTATAATTCATGCTCTAGGTTAAGTTGAAAGCTCCAGGGTGGCCCGCGAAATCCAAATTTTCTTGCGTGTTTTGGAATTTGCAGGTCAGGGTCAGGTTGTATGTTTAATAAAATATGATTCGCGACCGTAACGAGTATGTGTTTATAGAATTATTATCATTAAAATCACCAATACAACCCTCTAAGTTCATATAATCCCTTTGAATTAGTTTTTCTGGAAATAGCCATACATTGGGATTATACGAACATAGACGGTTGCATTGATGATTATAATTCTATAAATACATACTCATTACGGTCGCGAAACATATTTTGTTAAACATAAAACCTGACACTGGCCTACAAATTGCAAAAAACGAAGGAAAATTTGAATTTCGGCGGGTTACCCTGGCGCTTTCACCTTAAAAAATATATTTAAAAAAAAACTAATATAAATAATTAATTAGAATTAAGTAGAAAACAGTATGATGGAAATATCCACCATCATGCAGTATTACATGTTTAGTTCAGTATTAAATAAATAAAAAAATATAATAACTTTGTAGTATATTTTAGTAGTATATCTTATAGTATATTTTAAATTATTATCAAAAATTAAAGCATGTAGCTTTATTTTTTTTCTAAATCTTTTTTTCTGGTAATTTATTATTTCGAATCTTATTTGTTGCGTAGTTCTACAATGAGATTTCCTTGTTTAGCTAAAAAATATACTAATGGCAAAGGTGCATAAAAACTATTAAAGTATATGATGTGGTTAGGCTTCCTGGCACTCCCCGAACAAGCGAACATTTCCTGTTGCACCAAGATCTGGTTCATCTGGGAATTTTTCTAAATTCTCTGATCTAGAATATACCTCAAACTTTTAGGCATATTCCATCTAATCACAAAGAACATATAATTTGAAGTCCCATTTGTCGGGCTTATTGGGCAGATACTGTTTTAGAAAGTGCCCTATTTTTGTAGGCACATCTGTTAGGCACATTTGCACATCTGTTCATCCACAAAGTCTTTGGTCCATTGACAAACCTCTCATTGAGGTGATGATCTATAGGTTTATGAAGTTCATTGTTGTTGAAATGCAATGATAACTTTATCTTCTCAAATTTGTTCAATGGCATTGTTGAAGAATATGTCATAACCAAACTTTGGTGACCAGTATGATCTTGTCCTAGGAAATTTTTGTACTGACATGTATAACAGGATACCAAAGAACTTGTTAAAATCATATTCTGTAAATGTTATAGATGAACTGGGATTACTTTGTATTATATATTTTGTTTGCTCCACTAATTTAATGATAACATCTTTTGTGATGAAATGGTTGAAACACTGATATGGGGTTTCCAGTTGTGATATCTCATCTGGAGCAGCAGAACTCCCCAAGAAAGTAATATTATCTTTATCGTACACTATTTTTCTTTTTTTTTTTCTATATCAAGTTCCTTTTTCCAAATGAAAAACTGGGCAAATTGCATACAAATGATGAGTGAGAGGGTTCCTGGTTTTCTATGGTGAACTCTGCTAAAAGAGGAGGATCAATGTCAGCAGTTTCATCTACCGCATCGTTATCGTCATTATCCTCCTGCAACACTAAAATTGTCATCAGCATTGCGGTACTCATCGTCGCAATCTGCGTCATGAAGTCTATCTTCTGATAGCCAACCGCCTTCTAACTGACCCAAGTAAGCTTCAATATCCCTGTCTTTCACGTTTCTCTAAAAAACT